GTTTTAAATGAGGAAAAAGAATAAATCTATTGAAGTCTGTGAAGTCTGTTGTGCCTGTTTTTGATCCTGGATGTAAGTTCCTCTGTGCATTATTCACAGAGCCGTACACACTGTACCATGTCAAGGTGGCTGCGGTGACCAACGGTGGACTGGGGGAGTTCAGTGACCCCTTCCCGGCCCTCACAGATGTAGCTGGTAAGACGAATGAGAATTTGATTCCTCTTCTACTTTGTGTTGACTTACTTCTCCTGCTAAGCCGCAGTGATGAAGATTGTATTTCAAACGATAGACATGTGACCTTCAATTTGTGAATGGAGTACAATACTTTCTTGCTATGGGTAAGCTTGGAGGTTTTGAAAAAAAATGTAAAGTGGGGATTATATACTAAGATTGAGATAAAAGCCACAGATTTGAAGATGTAAAAAAAGAAAGGAATTCCACATATATTGCACCTTGAGGGAAAGTTTGGATTACATTGGCAAAATTGTACTGAGGTTATATAATTATCACATGATACACATTGTCGCGCCAAGACAGACAATTTTATATAAACCTACCACTCAAATTAGTGTTAAGATGAAATTAAAGTTTTGTCCTGTTTTTTTCTTTTTCTAATTTGCTTCTCTAAGTATCATTTTTCCGAAATGCACTGATTGGTGATATGTGGATGTACCGTCAGCTCAGCTGGTGTCATTCTGTACTGTGATGTCATTTTCTTTAGGTCGAATCCCAGTGGTTCTGTTATGGTGCATGAGTTGTTGGGGGAGTATTCAAGGCTCTTCATATGCTTGGCCCTGCCATATTAGAGATGGGCATTGAATTTGGAGATCCTATCTCATAAATAGTCTTACAGCATTGAAAAGGCATTCGAATACCATATGAGTAGTGATGAGTCTAGGCTAGAGTCTAGTAGGTAGGCAGATTTTTTGGTTTAACCTTTTTCTGTGCTGGAAGACTGGAAGAGGGGAAATTGACTTTTGCAAGCTTCTCAGTATGATAAAACTGAACAAAAAAAAATGATCTGGCCGCTACTTCCTGTCTCCTAGAATGGAAGCGCTGTTTGCCTCGTCTCAAATCCTAAAAGTCTTGAATGATTTTGTTGTTAAAAAGCCGTAATGAAGACATTAGATGTCAGTCAATGTCTTTGTTTGTTTGGTTTGTTTATTAGGAAAAAAATGTGCAAATTGTCCTGAAATGATATTCTGAGTCTGCTCTTGGTTCAGCCCCCGGCCCACCCAGAAACTTGAACATCACTATGAAGGGCCCACGCAGTGTGCTGATGACGTGGGAGGTGCCCAAAGTCTTCTACAAGAATGTGGACAACTACCTCATCAAGGGCTGGGACAATAGGGGCCAGGACGTCAAGGTGGAGGTGATGGGGCATCTCACAGAGGTGAGGGCTGGCTCTGTGCCTGTGTGCACATGTAGACATTTGTGCGTGCTTATTCACACATGCACACACACACACACACACACACACACACA